CCTCAGCCAGAGATAAATGCCTCCTGATCTCCCAATGTGATTTTTCCTTGAGGAAACCTCTCATCTTGCATAAGAAAGAATGCATATTTTCCGGACACAGAGCTGCTGAATTTCTGAAATGGAAATGACTGTGAGGATGTCTGAAGAGACTCCTCTCTCAGTACACTATTGATTTCGTTGAAAACATCTAGAAGTTTCAGTTACATCTGTGCGTCTAGATTTTCATATCATTTCAAAATGACACATAATTTAGCATAAAATGACACATAGCTTTAGTGTGAAGAAACGGTATCTGTTGCATGTATAAAGAGTAAAATTACTAGCAAAAAACAGAACAGAAATAAACCATATTATCAAGATATAAATGTATTTATCATACAATTCTTCATTCTTATAACTATTCTTAACACACTTAAAAAGTGCACTGTAATAATGTAAAATGTTTGAAAGTACATTTTAAGCGCTTTATGGAAGAGGGAATCTCCTCAACCACCACCAATGTGCAGCATCCACCATTTGCAATGCAATGCAAATGTTATCGAATATATGCTCATTACTTGGGCTTCTAGTATTATTGAGCATGCTGTACTAAGCGACATGCTGTGGTAATGAAAGCGTTGTTTTAGCCTTAGGTCTGTCATTCAACACTAACAACATCATAGCTTGATGATCCCATGAATGTGTGGAATCATGGGAGTCGTCATCTTCACCTCCACAACCAATGGAATTCAGTACGACGGGAGCAGAAATCATGTTCATGAATGAGGAAGCACACTGTACTTCATTGCTTAGCTGCGCACTGCCTCAAAGCTACAGGGTGTATGCTTTCCCGATCGAACTACACTAGTTTTAATACTAGTCCATGGTCAGGGGTGTAGTACCAAATTTTGGGGCCTGGGTACAAACCATCTTGCTGGGCCCCCCGCAACGGACTTTTGACTTGAGCTCGGCGACTTCTCCAACGGGGGGGGGGGGGGTTGTGTGAGACGGAGAGACGGAGACGGACTTCTGACTTGAGCGCGGCGACTTCTCCAACGGGGGGGGGGGTCGGTGGACGGACTTTTGACTTGAGCTCGGCGACTTCTCGGCGGCTCGGTACCCCTTTTCCCCCCGCTACCACACCCCTGTCCATGGTTATATAACATGCTTGTTGTATCAGTTTTGTTGCCACTAGTCTGAGCTACTGCTGTAGGGTTTATGCATCCCCTGCCAAACTTCACTAGTTTTAGCAGTAGTTCTGTCATTATACAACATGCTTGTTGTATCAGTTTTGTTGCCGCTAGTCTGAGCTACTTGCTGTAGGGTGAATTCATCCCCTGCCAAACTACACTAGTTTAGCAATAGTTCCGCGATTATACAACATGCTTGTTGTATTAGATTTTGCTGCTGCTAGGGGTGTAAGCTTCCTCCAATAGATCCTATACTCTGTTAAAGGTGCTCTATGTAGCTTTTCTTCTAAAATTAACTTATATACAGTCTATGCGACGGCACTTCAGCTAACGACATGGAGTCTGATAACACCCCAAAACGACCTGCCTCCAGCACAACACAGACTCCAACACAAACACCAGATAAATATAAAAAACAAAAAAAGTTTTATCTGCTGAAGCTCGTCAGGCCAAACGTGATTCTGATCGACTCAGGACGAAAACACGGATCAACATCGGCAGAGCTTTTGAATTATTAGTAAACTCTAATGAAATAGCAAGGTAAACTACATGAGACATGAAATTAATACAAAAGACTGTTCCAGGATAACAAAAAGTAGGTGCTTTAGGATGTAACTTATTTTATGTACTAGATCTACTGTCTGACGTTACTCATCCCACTACTATCATATTGTTTATAATAAACATTTCCAGACACATTCAGTACAGTAATGTTACTTCCTACTGTCTTACTGTTACACTGACATTGTTCAGTCTAGTTCACCGTTTTCGTTATGATATTATACATTCACCTATGTTGACATTGCTGATTGTGAAAGATACACGAATAGTTAGTGAAATGCCTTATGCTAACACCACATGCCGGCTAAATGCAGTCAATGTAACGTTATCATGGTACGAGCATGGAGCATTAGTTCAACGTCAAGCTGATAAAAGTAGCCTATTATTGTAACGTTGCAGTGGGCGTTTACATGAGTTTCCAGCATGTTGTGTGATGCTTTCGCCGTTGCATTGAAAGTCTCCGTGTGGCCGGTAGTGAATGCTCGCTCTTGAGATCGCACACGCACACGAGCCCTCTTGTTGCAATCTGAAACATCACCGCTAGAGGCCACTAAAAAATACATAGAGCACCTTTAAATTGGCTACAGCAACATGCTTGTTGCAATGTGTCCTCGCTTGCTCCAGCTTGGGGTGATTAGATTGATTAGATTCCCCCATTAGATTGGATCTATAGTGTCACTGACCTATGGATATAACACTAACATCAAGATGTATTAACCATTCTATCAGCATCAGTCGTGTTGGGGGTAGTGTGTAAAAGACATCCAGAATTTCGCTGTTCTGTTTACCCTAAGGGGAGTTATTGCTGCTCTTATCCATGCTAGACTGCATGGATGCACAGGGAGTTCTCGCCCAGAACAGAACCATACCGCCAATCCTAATTGTATGGTAATTGTCAATTGACGATAGTGGTCCTGACAAAAATACAGTGAACATAAACAGCATCACAAGGCAAATTGTTTTCACATTCTAAGATACATTGTTTTACTCTACCAGGTGCTCACTAGGTTTTTAGGAACAGCGCTAATTACGAATTTGTGAAATTAGTTAAAGAGTTGAAACTCACAATGTCTAACATCGGAGGGGTTTTTATGAAATGTTATGAAACCTGCGACATTTTCTTTTCAGTTTGTTAAAGTATCACTTGCAAAGAGCAGATGTCATGTGGCCATTTCCTGACCTTTCCCAGTGTCCCTGAAGCATATAGAATCATTATTTGTACTTTTCACATAAAACATGACTCGTATGTGGGTTGCATAAATGTGTTACATTTTGTGCCAGCTATGATATAACAAATGAAATGTTCTCTCGCTTTATACATGTTAACCCCTCTTCAAAATGGAGCCATATTATGAGGGAGGAAAAACAACTCCATTATCAAGATTCCAGAGTCATGATGGGATGTGCTGGAGGGAATGGCAATCAGTTATATAAGCCGACAAGTTTTTTTAGCAGCGTGTTTCTACAACAGTAAAATATAATTCCTATTTACAACCAATTTTCAACTTAGAAGACTTGGGTTTTCTCAGAGGTTGCCAAGTGTCATTAAGAAAAGACATGAGCTACCATCTGATATAATTCATAATAGCAGAAAGACAGCAGATATATGATTTTTTTAATTCCACACTAATGTTGTAGGCGGTGTTTGGTTTGACAAGCGTGCAATGTCGTTTTACCCATCTGTGTTGCATTATAGTTTTACTCTCTTTTATAACCCAAATAGTCAAGCATCTCCCATAAAAAAAAAAAAAAGGTCATAAACAATTTTTGTTTTGGGTCAAGGAGCAATTTATCACCGGGGATTTCAAACAGTGGATATATAAAGCTGTACACAGACCCTCAGGGAAGAAACCAATATCACACTACCTAACATGGGCAAGGGGGCAGTGCAGATGTGCGTGCCTGCAGATGTTGTGAAAGGAGGGTTATACAAGGTGAAAGATAGTGTTACATGTGCAAAGTTATAAAAGGGTTTGACTCAGACCCAAGTTTTATAAGCACTTTCTAACTTTATAACTTTATAACTTCCTGTGAATTTAAGGATGCATCATTGCCTAGACAAGTTGACCTTTCCCATAAAATCACAATTTTGCTTTTTTTATAAGCAGTATTAGGCCTGCTTGTGTTTTATGGAACAATTCTAGTTGAATAGCTCTCTCTGGTTCCTGTCTGAGAAATCATAGCATTCTGTCTGTGGTCAAATATTTTTGTATTTTTGTATTTTGTATTTTTGTAAGTGACTCTTTGTCTCCTGTGCTAGTTTTTCTAGCTATGTTTTTCGCAGCACACTAATCTCTCTTTCCTCTTATATAATGAAATAATTTAAATTCAAATCAATTATTTCGCTTCCATTTATTTCATTATTTTGTTAATACTATACACAGTAAAACATATCCCGTTAAATGTAAGGTGAAAAGATGGCAACTTTGGTTGCCAGAAATGCACTGTAAAAATACTGTGATGGTGTTTCTGGTATGATGGGATGCCTGTATGTTTTACAACGTATAACTGTATATTTCATTAAGTGAAAAATGTTAAAATACCTATCTACTTGAATTACTAAAATCAACTTTTTACCGTTGGCTGTCGCGCTGAAACGAAAAGTAAAAAGTAAAAATAAAATATTTTTATTCTGGTGTCACCATTGTCCACTCTGCATTGGATTACCAGCACCAAGCCTATTCATTTCCAATGAATTTCCATTCATTTCAATTTGTAATACCAAATTTAACATTTTAATAATTTTTTGTTAATCTTTTACCATATGCCGCAATAATATCGTATCGTGAGTTCAGTATTGTGATATGTATCGAATCATGGCATGAGGGAATCGTTACAACCCTACAAATTGGCCAAAAATGTAAGCGTGTGGTTTTGCTAGGCTGACATTATAGCTCTACAGTGTCGTCCTGGAGAAACTGGTGGTGCAACTAGTGCTTAAACCACGCTTAAAGATGCGGCGAACGGATAGAGGGGGACCCAATGCCCTACAGCCCCTCGAACGTGACGGCAATTGGAACGAGGGGAGGCCTGCTTCCCCTAACTCACACTGGGCCTTGCCCCAGGAACGGCCATTGAGCTGCATGCTCTGAGGACCTTGGTGTACAACTTCCTGACACCACTGGCGCAATCCATAATCAAGTCCTGGAATAAATAATGATTAGAATTAGAACTATCTTCAATTATGTTTAAAAATAATTGGGTTGAATTAAACACAATCTATTTGCTGTACCATATAATCTGACTCTTTGTTTGCCATGTGTTCTCCAGGCCAAGAGGACAATCCAGATAGTCTCCGGCACAGATATAACTTCATCGCTGATGTGGTGGAGAAGATCGCTCCAGCTGTGGTTCACATTGAGCTGTTCCGCAAGTATGTATCTTGAATCACACACTCCATCAATCAATGATCCCATGTCTCCAAGAAGACATCTTTATCAGGACTATTTTTGGGTGTGTTCACACTTGTAGTTCCATTATCTTGGTCTTTTTGGTCCAAACCGAAAAATAAAATGATACATTTAATCCTGGTTCGCTTAGCGTTCACACTGTCGTTTTTAACACTGAACCTAAAGATACAAAACAAACAAACAAAACGGCTTTTATTACGGATATTTTGTGACAGAACTTACTGAACATCCAACACAATGCTGTGTGCTGGGCTAAATGCGCTCGTTGTATGTGCGTACATATGATGTTTTTTTTACCAGCTGAGAACTCAGAAAGACATTCTAAAAATGTGTAAAACAGCGCCAGGAAAACCTCCATTGCACACAAACGAAGTTCTGCTTCAATTAGACGCTATATGTCCAACGCCTGTACTGAACTGTAATGGGCAACGTAGCTCCTATGTCAAGAAAAAACAGGTATGCTTGAGCATTCTATCATTTTTAGGGTCGCATCTTGTGACATCACGTCCTGTTTTTGCTTTGTTTATATGTCTTTGGTCTGTCTTGCATTTATATTTCAGTCAAACTACACCAGAGTTCATTTGGAAGCCCACGAAGGTTTGGATGGCAGCGTTCACACTTAGTCAAATGAACCACACTAACAGAGCAAAAGTACCAGAGTTCGTTTTAATCGAAACAAACCTGCCAAGTTTGAACACACCCTTTAACACAAAACTCTTAAAAATAAAGGTTCTTTATTGGCATCTATGGCTCCATGAAGATAATTTATTTATCCATGGAAAATGTATAGTGGAAAAAGATTCTGTAGATTATTAAAAGGTTCTTCATCCTAAGAAAAAAAATTCTTTTTATAACTTTCTTTGAAAGGTTCTTTGGGGGAAAATGGTTCCTGGAACCTTTATTTTTAACGCTGAACATGAGCAATTTCAATTTTGTGGATCATCTTAATTTTTCTCTGCCTTTATGAGTCAACACTGGGAAAAAATAGATACTGTACTTCCTCTTTATTTTTGTCTTTTTATAGCCCTCTATCATTAATATCAGATGACTTCTTCCAAGTGTGATTACATCCATATTGGTCCCAAAACAACATTCTTATCAACCAGTTATTTATCTCTTATTTTTTTTGTAGGTTGACCTAAGATTGATTGACAAGAATGTTGTTCCAGGAATATGTTACTCATGGCTAAATCATGTTGTGCGTGAAGTGTCAAGCCCTTCGATAAAATGTTTTATGGGTTGTCCCACATAGTTTTATCCTCAATATACAGAATAACATTATTATTCTATATATTATTGTAATAACAACTATCTGATTTGATTTTTTTTCCACTTCACTGTAGACATTAATTGATTGGATCTCTCTCTTAAACATCATGATATCTTCATCATTGCATAAGACTCAATTTGTGGAATGTAGAATACACCCGACCTCAATTTTAGGCTGTTGAAATCGTGCAGTGCGGTGAAAAATCTGGAGAACAACCATTATGTTTTAAATCATTTGTCAGAGGAAGTTCTTCCTTGCTCTCAAGTCTAGCTGGAAAATATAGTTAAATCAAAGATGTTGGGTGATGATAATTCTTTACTGTTGCTCAGTGGAAAGTAAGAGGGTTTCTCATCAATATATCTTTAATATATCAGTAATCTTTTTTAGAATGGTGTTCTCCAAGCGGGAAGTGGCGGTGGCCAGCGGCTCTGGTTTCGTGGTGTCTGAAGATGGTCTGATCGTAACCAATGCTCACGTGGTAGCCAACAAACATCGCGTGAAGGTCGAGCTAAAGACTGGTGCCACCTATGACGCCAAAATCATAGACGTGGATGAGAAAGCAGACATCGCCCTCATCAAGATAGACGTTCCAGTGAGTACCTGTCCTGCTCATATAGTATGTCACACTCAGGACTTTTGCATATCACATTTATATTAAGACTCTCAATCTGTTCCAAAAGCTACTGAGCTACCTTAGGTAGGATTTTAAGGCATTGCTTCCCATGCTAAGGAGGATCCTTAACGCAAGACAAGATACCTTTTTTTTGCCCAAATTCTAGGGCATTATTAGATGGAGAAACCAACTCCATAATGCATGGTAACAAGCTCAGTTGAAAAATCCACTGATGCATGACGCAAGAAAAATGTCAATTTAAATGAATTCAATACCGACAATATAGCTTAAAACAGTTCAATCTATTACAAACAATATATATTATATCGTAGTTGTGCAATACTACCGTATTTTGTACATGCAACTTAGTTATTATTGTAGTATTATTGCTAGTTTTATTGTAAATGAAAAAAACTAAATTTATTTCAACAAATTTACCGTCAATACAGATACGAATTACCGTCAATACAGATTACCGTCAATACAAATACGAACAATACAGGCATGGATAACATGCCTTGTCTTGTTTAATTAGCATCTGAGATTGTTTCCATGATGTCCTCAGCAATGAATTAAAAAATAACAAATAATGCCTGAAATAAGCTTTTCTTGGCATAGAGGATAATGACCCTGTCTTAAAGGAAGGCACTTCTGTATCAGGAAGAGACACAGACCCAGATAAGCTGTGTTGAATTGCTCCACTTAACAACCCTGACTCCACACCCAGGCAAGGTCAGGAAACGCATGAAGAGACCATTTTAACTTACAGCAATTACAACCGAGACACAAGGATTTGATTAGAGTTGCTTATATAACATTAAATGGGTAGGGGGCTGACATACTAAAGTGAAAAAAATGGGATTTTGCACATTTGTCATCAAAAGATAATAGGTTAAAATGTTACTAAAAGTTGTATAAGTAGACTGCAAAACAAGCCACATAAAGATGTACAGTATACATTTTTTTATACTTATAATCAGTTGTATGTTTTAGATTATAATATCTTATAATGCATTTTTATGGTTATGCCTTCAAAAAATATACTGCATTGCACCATGAACACCACCAATTTTGTGCTGTAATGCATTATACTATACTAGATATAAACTTGAATAGGTAAGTATGATAACAAATAAAAAATGTGTTGGAAATCCTTTATAAAAAATATAATTTATTTTACAGTTTATTTTACATCTCTTAAGATAATAGTGCAGTGGTAAAGTGTAGTTACATTTCAGATTTAACGTAAAATATACCAAGGACTGCAACACATTGAAAATGCCTAGGCAGCAGTGGCCCAGAAAGCTCATGACCGCAAGTGACACTTGACTTTCTTAACAATATGAGTGGTGATACTGTTTGATATGGTTTGGTAACAGTTACTGGCTGTTGTGCTGGCCGACAGCAGTGCCACGTCTCTATAATTCTTTCCTGGACTCTCATGCATAACTCCTTCCTCTCTGGCTCAGATTCTGCTTAGTCACTGCCGTACTGTGAATAATTTATATTGGGTAACTGTCTCATATTCTTTTCAGCTTGAGTTTCATGCCAGACTTTGGTCGATTGGTTCATGTCTCTGTCGCCATATGAGAATTCCATATCCAAATTTCTCTTCATATTTAAAATGATTTAATAGAACAGACATGAAAATCTTTCAAGCTGTTTTTAAATATGGTGCAGGGTTGTTACGGTGACCACCTTGTTTGTCTGGTTATTTTTGGACGGAAGTCATTTCCAAACTCATTACAGATTATTTGCAATTTCAAGAGGCTCTCAATGGATCCCTTCTCTGGAAAAACAAATCATGGCATAGTTTCTGCACTTGCACCTGTTCTTTCTTAGGGTTTCATTCTGTGTTTTCTCGATCTAATCTGATTCTTGTTTTTTTTTATTCCCAGCAAATAATTCCCACCCAACAATGTGTTCTTTTCTATGCGTTCATATCAACATGTTTCAGTATTCATTCAGGCTGCATCCATTAGTAGCATCACAGAAGCAGCATTATAGAGTTTAATTAGTTGAAATCAGCCGAAAATAAAGTGAAAATGCACCTAGAAATGTATGAACTCAGTCTTTGCTATACAGTATGTTTTTATGAAGCCACAAAAAATAATGGAGGGAATTACTCATCTTTTGTTTGAAAAAAAATCCTTCTGTTGAGCCAAATGCAAGTTTCAACTGCAGCGATAGGCATGCAAAACGCATTCTATTCAGCAAATCTGACTGAATCTTCTTCTTTTTTTTTGTTGCAGTTTATAGCTTCAACTTGAAGTTTGGGTTCATTTTAATGTAACTGTGATCCCACTGCTCAAGTACATATTGATCAAGTTTTTAATCGTTCTAAATGGTGCACACTTGATAGACATTTCATCATTATAAATCACAAAAATGTCTGGTAACCCAGAAATCGAATCGGTTACCTAACGTAACCTCGGTTCTCTCTAGAAGAGGGAACGAGTATTGCGTAAGCTAGCTTACGCTGCGGGAAAGATTCATCTTTGCTGAGATATTGAAGCCAAAAAATTATTTCATAATTTTGTATCCATACACAACGCAGTTCCTCTGCGGCAGACCTAGAGCGGGCTAGCTAGCAGCTCATTGGATCGCTCAGAGAGAACTGCTTAAGCCTATGGGAGAGCGGGGCTGAACCCGCTTCCAATGAGAGGCGCCCGCGCGCTCATTGCGTCATGACCCGCCAGAATGGGCGTGGCCATGGTGTATATAAGGAGCTCTCCCAGGCTTATATGTTGATTTATTTCAGCGTGAAGCGAAACGCTAGTAGCGCAAGCACGGCCGGGAACGCAATACTCGTTCCCTCTTCTAGAGAGAACCGAGGTTACGTTAGGTAACCGATTCGTTCTCTTACGAGAGGTTCTCTCGTATTGCGTAAGCTAGCTTACGCTGCGGGAACACCTGGCCAACGCCGTGCGCGCTACGAATCCACTCATGAAAAAACCCAGGGATATACCGGGGGAATTTTTTAACGTGGAGTGAATGTACAAAGAGGCCGCAGAGCGGGCTCATGAAGTGTACACATAAGCATGTATGGGGCCAGCAGAGCGGGCACATGAAGTGTATAAGCATTACAGGAGAGCACAAGGGGCGAACCGGTTGTGAGGGACCTCCAGAAATGCAGCTTCTTAGAGAGCTGTTCGTCAGACAGCTAGTAATTTTGCCTGCAAGGCGGGAACTTCCAAGTTATAAAACCTGACAAAAGTGGACGGGGAGGCCCATCCCGCGGCCACACAAATGTCATGAACGGAAATTCCACAGGACCATGCCCACGATGAGGCCATGCCTCTAGTGGAGTGCGCCCTGATGCCCAGAGGGCAGGGCAGGCATTTAGATGCGTAAGCAGAGGCGATAGCGTCCACTATCCATCTAGACAGTGTCTGTTTTGAGGCGGCCAGACCCTTGGTGCGCCCCCCAAACGACACGAAAAGCTGCTCAGCGCGTCTGAACGCGGCAGCGCGCGTAGTGTACAATCTCAGAGCCCGCACCGGACAAAGGAGATTGGCATCGCGCTCACTATCGGATGAAGGCAGAGCCGATAGGGAGATAATCTGAGCCCTGAACGGGGTACCAATCGCCTTCGGGACATAGCCATGCCTAGGTTTGAGAATGACAATCGAATCATTCGGTCCAAACTCAAGACACGCGGCGCTGGATGAGAGCGCGTGAAGATCCCCAACGCGTTTAACTGAGGACAGAGCCGTCAGGAAAACGGTTTTGAGCGAGAGGTATTTCAGATCCACAGACTCGAGCGGTTCGAACGGGGGTGCTTTCATAGCTTCAAGGACTATAGAAAGATCCCAAACCGGAACCGACGGGGGCCGCGGAGGGTTCATCCTCTTAGCTCCCCTGAGGAAGCGGATGACTAACTCGTCTTTGCCCAATGACTGAGCGCGTCGGGGTTCCGCGAACGCCGCGACGGCTGCCACATAAACCTTGAGAGTGGAGGGGGACCTGCCCTTGTCCAGCATCTCTTGAAGGAAAACAAGCAAAGACGGCACCTCGCACGACCGTGGGTCCAGCTGTTTGTCGGTGCACCATTTTGAGAACACAGACCATTTAGACGCATAGAGCCTTCTCGTGGAAGGTGCTCTAGCCTGTATGATAGTGTTTCTTACTCCCTCTGGCAAATCAACGAATAGTCGTTGATCACCCATGCATGTAGCGCCCAGCGCTGTGGATGGGGGTGCCAGATCGTGCCGCGAGCTTGAGAGAGGAGATCTGCTCTGACTGGGATGGGCCACGGGGCTGTCTGTGACAGCTGCGTGAGCTCCGGAACCCAATTCTGACTCTCCCAACGCGGGGCTATGAGGAGCACCGAGTGGCGTGTGTCCCTGATCCTCTGAATTACCTGTGGTAACAGAGCGATCGGAGGGAATGCATAGAGCGGGCGGCGAGGCCATTCCTGGGCTAGCGCGTCCTCGCTCTTCGAGAAATATATTGGGCAGTGAGCGTTCTCTTCTGACGCGAAGAGGTCTACTTCTGCTCTGCCGAATAGTCGCCACAGTAACTGGACCGTCTGTGAGTTCAGGGACCATTCTCCTGTGGAGATGAGGTTCCTGGACAGTATGTCTGGACCGTCGTTCAGATGGCCCGGCACGTGCGTCGCTCTGAGCGAGAGCAGGCGGCTCTGAGACCAAACTAGAATGCGGTGCGTCAGTAGACAGAGATTTCTGGATCTGACACCGCCCTGACGGTTGAGATAGGAGACCACGGCCATATTGTCCGAACGGATCAGGACGTGGTGTCCCTGGAAGCGCGGGAGAAAGTGCGAGAGCGCGTTCTCGACCGCCAGCATTTCCAGACAGTTTATGTGTAACGGGCTTTCCTGAATCGACCAGTGGCCGAAGGCCGGTGAGCCCTCGCAGACTGCACCCCAACCCGTGTTGGATGCATCTGTCGAGATGACTTTTCGGCAGGAAAAGGTCCCCATCGTGACGCCTAGACGAAACCATTCTGCTACTGTC